GTCAGTGATGGTAGGAAGCTGATACACGGATCCTCTTCCCAGGCGAACTCCTAGCCGTGACGGGGAGCCATCGAATGTCCTGTCCTTTGAAAAGTCCTTTGTTTCTGCGCAGGGCAAAGCACGGCATCTTCGCATCAAGCAATCGAGCCCCTGCAGTTGGGCGCAGTGCTTGAGGCCTACGTCTGGAACATGCTGATTGATCGCGAGAAAGCTCGCATCGCCTGGGACTGAGAGAGCATGTGCATGCTAGCCTCTCGACGTGGCCACCGGAGTCCCGGGTCACCGGAATCCACCGGAGTCCCGCGAGACAGCATTATTTTCATTGTCTTTGACAGCTGTGGAGCTGAGGACCGCAACTTCTCAGAAGCGGATAGGATCCGCGATGATCTGCGCGACCGAGGCGCGCATGGCGACGGCTTGCAGGAAGTAGAGCCGGTTCTTGATGTTGGCCACGGCAAGTCAGACCTACTCGGAAGCATCGTTCAGACATCATGTGTCGGCCCTGTCCAGGTATCGAGATCTATGACCGCGAACGACGATGGGAGGCAACGTGTGCATGCAATCAGCTAGCTCCTGCCCTCATTCTCGACAATGGCATGTCCGGTGTCACATAGAATTTGGCACAAAGTAGTTGCATTCGGGCGGTGAAGCCGGGTACTCAAGACCCTCTGATGCACAGGCAAAAGATGGACGTGTAGGACAGCGCCCAAATCACGATGACAAGAAGAAAGATGACGACTGACAGCCGACACGAGCCGACGGTTCGGAAAGAAGCAGCAGGCAGCAGCTTCTCAGTCACAGATTCTCATAATGTCGAGTCTTGTACAAGAGTGCATGGTATGGTGCGCGCTGCTGATTCTAGCAAGATCCAGCAGGGACTGCAGGCGGTCGATGCCCCCTGTCCCCTCGAGCGGCTTAGAGTCTCTTCAAAAAGACCGGAGCGTATGAGCCAGTCATCCAAAAGGGAAAGCCTGGAGAGTCGTGAGATGCTGCATCCCTAAGCAGTGAGGTACCAGTAGCATCCCAAACACATCCAAAAACACACAAAGCCATTGTCCTACCGCTTATCTGCATCTCAAGCCTCGGACTGCGGGAGCACTATGGGTCTGGTGTTCCCGGGACGTCCTTGGGTTGCAGCCTCGATCGATTTTGGTTGCTACCCAGCATCTCACATGTGGCGGATCCTGAGGCAGAGCCGGAGGCATGTTCCGAAGGCTTATCTGAAAAAAGAGGGCCGGTGTGACTGTCCCTCTGGCAGTCCCTTCCGTGCCGTGAGGCGATGCGCGTAGACTTTCGCTGGGCGCCTGGCGCCCGCGAGAGGTCCACCTCGTCGTGTGCAGAAGACTTGCACTTCCTGAGCATCGCTGATGTTCGTCAGGTTTCGTCACTTCTCTAGGACCTCTAGTGACAAGGCCGCAGTTGCCTCCTAGGTTTGGTCCGCTAGAGTCTGCAGGGCAGGGATGCTGAAGCTGTGTGCAAGGCTACTGGCGCGGATGAAGGCCGGGGTTATTGGAGCTCGGAGCATGCACCTTGTTTCCTGAGCACGCTGGAGAGGACACAGACGGCTGGATGACCGACTTGTCGCAGGCCGACATGGAGGCGGGCGGAAGATGTAGGCTTCCAGTGCAAAACCTTGTCTCGAGCCGAGCTCTCTTACAGAGGGTCACGGCGCTCCGTAGCTCCTCCAGCCTCGTGGCTTTAGGTGCCCGTTCCCAAGCTGCCCGCCGGCATCATCTCTGCCGAGTCCTTCGGCTGTGCGCCAACTCGGCTCACTGCTCTTGTGCTGTGATGTATGAGATGGTAGACAGTAGAAAGCATCTTGCAGCTACTCTTCTTTGCCGTTTTGTGTTGGTGGTGTCGTGGTGCTGCTCGTGTGACACAGCCATGGACTTCCAGTGTTTGGTGTGTTCTTTGTAGTGCCCAGTATGCCATGACAGCAGGGCACAGGTACGCACTGCATACCCGAAGGGAAGTGAACTAGCGAATGAACATATGGATACTTGGATGGAGCCTGGGTGCGACCGCGATACGCTTAACGTTGAAGCCTTTGCACTTGCTGGAGGGCCTGGACTCTAAAGTCATGGCGCGGAGATATGAGCGTAGTCTACTATCAATCTTCTTCTTGTCGTTACTAGTTACTAGCGGTTACGGTGAGACGGTGGTGGCGCTTTATTGCTATGATTCATGCCATCGTGATTATCGTTGCCAGTTGGCACGGAGGTATCGAAATGTTGGGAGTACTCCCTCCACCGGAGAAAGGCAAGTGTTGCAACTCCAGATGCTGTTCTGATCTATGCGCAAGATGTGAAGGGTAGTCTACGATTCCAGCAACGAGCCCCAAAGAGAATCTGCGATTCCGCCGACTGTTCGATGTGGAGGCTGGCAGAGGCAAGGGAAGTCTGCCGATGGCAAGGCAGCGCAGGATGCTCAGGAGCTGAAGCCTGATTGGCTTGAGTTTTTTTTGGCGATTTTTTTGCAAGAGGAATCCCCATTTTCTCAGTTTTGGGGGAGCCACGCAGTTCCATGTCCCAACACTCAAGCCAGGGCAAGAAGACGACTAGACAAAGTTCTCCATCTCATACTTGTCCTGATGACCTCCTCAGTATCAGACATGAAAGTCGAGCATCCAGCCCCGTGGCGCTTAGGTGGCTTGCAAACAAGGTGGCCCCCGATTGGATCTACAACATGAACGAGCAGAAGTGACCGGACAGTAAGTTCTACCTGAAAAGAAACAGAAAGGGGCCCGGGTTTGCGGTCGAGGTACTACCACGCACCCAGCAAAAGCTGGTGGGAGAAGCGTCCCCTCGAGCGCTCCTGGCTTCCACCCCTCCTTTCGATGATTGGCCTCTCCTCTGTTCATGGCAGGTCGCAAGATCCCAAGGCGCCACCCTACACTTTCGTTCGAACCGACGCATTCCACTTGAAGGCAGAGTCTCAGAGCTCTCGTGGGGTTTTCTGAGACAGCTTTCGTCTGAGGCCTTGCGACACTTTGCTGCATCCTTGGACTCCGGCGCTCTGCCTGCGCCTCAGCTCGGAGGCTCCGGGCGTGGGCTCCATTTTTGAAAGAGGGAGCTCAGATGAGCTCAAGGCTCACAACACGAGATTCCCGCAAGACGCCATCAGTGTGTGTGTGTGTGTGTGTGCATTTCCTGATCCCATCTGACAGCTTAAACCTCAGCCCTAGACTCTGGATGCGAGCTGTGAGCCAATGTGGCGTGGAGCCCTGGTGGCTGGTCTGGGGGTGGCTGAGCTGAGCTGCCCTGCAGGACCTGGCGGCGAGGAGAGGGAGAAGGGTCTTTTTTGCGGTTCGCTCTCTCAAGTCTCTTTTTTTGGCTGCCTCCCACCCCGAGCCCGAGGCATGTCGCCTGTCAGCGGCTCCGAGCTGGCGGAGCTTCGGGCGTTGCGCGATCCCAGCAGGGAACGACCTCGGGGAAGCCTTGTTTTTGACTGCAGCAGAGGCCAAGGATCACTGCGAGGCTCAGGAGGCCTGCGCAGCCTTCACCTTCGAGGGAGAGGATCTGGATGGCCTGTCTGAAAGCCCTGTCTGGGTGCACTTCAAGACGAGCTTCGACTGCGTGGATGCGGCGTGGGTGGCCTGGCGCAAGGTGGATTCGGCCCCGGAGGACTCCAGAGCAGTGTCTGCCTTCCGTGGTCAACATGACCTAACTGGCCTGGGGGTAGCCCTGTGCTTGATGGGACAGGTCCGCATGTTGTCCCACACCCACGTTGCCTTGGAGCAGCACGTCTTGCAGGTTCTGAAGCCTGACGTTTTTTTGTATGGACCTCGCGGATCTGACGCCGAGCCGGCTCCAGAATTGCACAGTCTCGAAGATTATGTGGTGGAGGAGAAGTGGGAGGTGGAGAGCATCCGTGACCGCCTGTATGCCGAGACGCGGAATCCGAGTCGAACGATCGATGTCGAGTACGTGCAGGTGCAGGGCAATTGGTTTGGAAGCGAGTGCCTGGACCCGCCGTTGCATGATAAACGGCCTGGAAGTGCTATCTGCTGGTATTACAGTCAGCAGAAGTGTTTGGAGATGATCCAGAAGCAGGAGCATCAGAGAGGACAGCCCTATCAATGGGTAGTCGTTTCACGCTTTGACTTTCGGTGGTTGGCGCCGCACCCACCGCTGGAGCTGTTGAAGGCGGATGTGGTCTGGATTCCCTCAGGCAGTGACTGGGAGGGTGGAATCAATGATCGCCATGCTGTGATACCTCGTCGACATGCCGAAGGCTATTTGAGCTCCTGGAAGATTTTAACCTCCGGCCGCGCCAGGGACGTAATGCTGGACACTCTTGGCGCCATGAAGGTGAACGGTTTTCCGGGGCCGAACACAGAGAACTTCTTGAAGGCTCGACTCCAGTTCCTGGAGGTGGAGTACGAACGTTTCCCGAACGTGGCTTACCTGACCTGCACACTTCGCGAGAAAAGTCGATGGACCCAGTGCTTCGGAACCGCCTCCAACAATGCTCCAGGCTGGCTCTATAAGGAGGAGATGGAACACGCAACCCGCATTGCCAACTGTGTACGCTCCTCGTGGAACAGGCGAAAGATGGAGGACTGTGCGGAGGACATCTCACATCTGTACCGTGGGCTGCGGTGACGGAAAGGATGCCTGGAAAGCTCTGCTCCCTCCTATGTTCAGTGCTGGTTTGTGACTTCAGGTGGTCGGGTGTCCCTTGCAGTAAGACCCCACACTCTAAACCCTAAGCCCTAGACCCTAAACCCCTAATTAGGCCTCCGCCTCATGGGCATTCCAACAGCAAGTGGACGTATTGCTAGAGGAACAGGGGCGACAAAAAAGACCCCAAACCCAATAAACCCTAAACCCTAAACCCTAAACCCTAAACAAGAAGTCTTCGCAAAGTTCCTGCAAAAAAGTCGGAACCTCGTGTGTAGCCGTGGAAGCATGAGGCCGCTCGCCTGGCAATCCTGGACTCTTTACGTCAAGTGCGCTTCTCAGAGTAGACCATGCGGGTAACTGGGGGTATAATATATATATATATATATATTATACATATACATATATGTATTATAGACACATAAGTTAGATATTTAATAGGCATTGCTTCAGCCACCGCTTTTGCTTGCTGAGCTTTGCATGCCGTTTGCAGGAAGAAGAAGGCGGCAGTTCAGGCAGGCTCAATGAACGCTTTCAGCGTGCTTGCTGCTGACGGCTGCGTTCATGTTGGGAACGGAAGCGCTTCGAGAAAGACCCTGCCAGATCGCCGCGGCGCCGGTGGTGGAAGAAGTCCAGCATGTGGAAGATGCAGGCTAAGAGAGAGCTTGGTGGAAGGGGGCTTTTCGGTGATCTGCTGTTCCCTAAACCCTAAACCCTAAACCCAAACCCTAAACCCTACTCTAGTAGGTCTTCTCCGTTTGATGCCGTGGAAGGTGCAGACCTTCCAGCTGAAAGGCACGGACTTTCTTCCCGGGGGTTAGCAGCCCAATAGCCGAACATAGCATGATATGATACAGCAGAGTATGCTACACTTATAATATACCATAGTGTAATACAGGATAATATCACATAGCCTAACAGAACACGATATTCAGATCCGTACATTGCAATACAGTATACTATGCTGCGGTAGAAGCTTCTGAAAGTTCAGGGAAGAGATCGAGCCGAAGCTGCCCCAGCTGCCACAGCTGCCAGGTGCGCGATAGGATCTCTTGGTAGGTTTTAAAGGCTGAGCCAGCTAAGGGTTTCGGGTTTCGGGGTTTAGGGTTGTTGTAGGGGTTTGGGTCCACCGAAACCCCTGTTTGGGCAACTGAAACGCCCAGGTAGGCCCGGCTGGCACTGGCCGGAAAGGAATGTTTTGTCTGTATTTGCATTGAAGTAGGCTACGATGTGATTGTATGATCAGGGGTTTTGAAAACAAGTATGCCGCGGAGTTACATCGCAGGAAAGTTTTGTGGAATAGTGTTTGGGGATGACGGAATATTGGTACCCGAGTCCGGCGACGCACATCGATCCAGGCCCGGCTTGCCACAGCACATGATGACGACTGTTTCTGCCACGACCCCTGTTCCCGTTATGACCGTTTTCAGTCGACATATGCTGATAGTGGTTGTTGCCAGTCGCGTTACTCTCGGCTGTCAGGGTTGAGACTTCGACCATTATGGAGATCGCGATTTTACCAACTGTAAGAGCTGGACTCGAGAACCTTAGGACCCGATGGCCTAAAGCCCAAACCCCTGATCCCTCAACCCCCAACCCGAAACCCTAAACCCCAAAACCAGGACCACGAGTCATTGACTCAACATAACATCTTGGCAGCGCTTCCTCCGCGCAGACAATTCCGCCATCATCGCGGCCATCGCCAACGCGCCGGAAGACGAGGAAGGTGAAGAAGAAGAGGAAGCAGAAGAAGATGAAGAAGTGGCAGAGGAGGAGCCGGGCACTTGTTGCTCGTGTTGAATGTCACTGTCGCATGACCGGCGGAGACAAATTCTATGAGACCAGCGAACAGCCTAGGTCTGAACGGCCGACTGCCAAAGCGCCAGTCAATGCCTTTGGAGTGCGGTGTATATAATCTTCGAAATATAACTTTTCTTTTATGATATGTGAGATATAAATAAGTGCGAAGTTCGAGAAGCTGCCTTTGTCTTTCAGCTGGAGATGCCCTGGAGCTCTGGACTTCACGAGTGTGTTCCTGCCCTGCCGAGGTCAAGACCAGAAAGAAGGGCGCGTAGCTCAGATGCCTCGATCTTGCCGACTCCGAGCCGGTGCACAGGGCAGGGTGAGGGTCAGGGCCAGGTAGGGAAGTACCTGTGTGGGCCGCGCTACTCGACCATCCTGAGGAAATGTGCGCACCATGTATGAGGGTAGACTTCCTAAGACGCGTTCCTTGAGGCTGGTGCTTTTGCTTTCGTTCGCGGGCACCGGTCGATTCCGATTCCGGGAGTGAGCAGGAGGACATGCGTCAACAGCTCATGTTTTGGCGCAGATTTGTCTCGATGCAGGAGGCCTCCCCGCTTCTCAAGGCCGCTGCTCCGATTGAGTTGGGCCCTCGGAGCCTTGGAGCCTTGGAGCTCTGCTTCGTTTGCTGTGCAGTTCCCAGGCCGGCCGCTGCCAAGCCGCCGCCCCCCTCGGAGCGGACGGCCTCCACAGCCACCGGCAGTGCCTCGCAGGACCTTGGTGTCAATTTATATATATATATATATATTTATGTATTTATGTATATAATTTATGTTATGGCAGGGAGGCTGTCGCGACCTGAAGGATGCAGCCGTGACGGACACTTCACGAAGTATTGGTGCCACCCTGATGCTGGAAAGGTGTGCAGTGCCGTTCTCTTCGTGTGCTGTGGCAGTCCAGCACCCGTCCAAGAAGAACTCGTTTAAAGCGCACAGCTTAGGTGTTGAAAGCCCCAAGAAGGAGGAGGCACCGGGTAAGAAATCCAAGCTGAAGAGCTACTCAGTGGACAGTCCTATAGGTGAGTGCATGTTGTTTGCAAGGCTGACATGGCATAAATCGCTGCACAGATCCCGCTGTCACTGTAGTTTCTCGTCAGCACAGGCTCCTCGGATCCTTCCTCCTGCCGATGAGCTGCAAACGCGAAGGCAGTCCGAACAGCCTATTTCAGCCAAAGCAGTGCCGGCCTGGCAAGCTCAGGTTACAATTCTTCCTGACCGACATTAACCGAAATCCGCAGCGGCTTGTTCCGCTCTGAGATCCTTCTGAGATATGAGCAGCCGCTTCTCGGTTCACGACCACGCACAGGTGACGCACGTCGAGCGCAGGCGGGCTCACGCGTGCATCTTGTATGTGGTATTTGGATTGCGGCTTGTACATCTTGCCCAAGCTTGTTCTGCAATGCAGCTGAACAGACGAGGCGTGCCGACAAGACGGCTGCATCCTTCATGTAATTTGCCAGCACTATGGGCATGCCGTTGCGGGGAGTTCCCTATCTTGAGCTCAGTGACACCGAGGTAAGCCGCGGCCTTTGTGAAACAGTAGCCACAGTAGCCTGTAGTGTGCAGACATTTGCAGCTTGCAAAGCAGGGCATGCCAGTGCCGTGTTGCGTGTATAGCAAGAGCAACTCAATCTTGACCGATGCTGTGTAAAGTCTTCTTGGCCTCTGGGTGCTTGACGACGAATGTTGTCGTTCCACGTCAGAGAATCTGGTTGAAAGCAAGTTGAAGCAAGCACCTTGACCTCATTCTGGTGGGTCGCACGGCAACGCCTGGTGCGCCTGGCAGAATCTGGCAGATAATGTACATCCTCAGCTTCTCGCTAAGCGAGCTGGCCGACCCATGCTGAGCATGGGATCAGCTGTTCAGATTTGTTCAGATGCTGTGGCGACCGGTAAAAGGGTGGTGGTGTGGGCATTGTGGGCTGGATGCTGACGGCCTGAAGTCCAGGGGTTGGGCCTCTAGGACTTGAGCGGCAGGTGCCAGTGAAAGAGACGCATTGCTGCCGTGTCCACTCGAGATCTTTTTTTTACTTTTGTTCCCACAAAGTGCTCTCCATCAAGAAACTCAAGATGCAGCTGCCTCAGCCGGAATGCCAAGATGCTGGCTAGTGGCTTGTTGACTTCTGCAGCCGTCTGAACATGTTCAGGCTTTTGAACTTCCGCGTCGTCGTCCTGGCTGTGCTTGCATGGCAGGGAGCTGCGAAGGCCAACCTGTTCCCTCAAAGCGGCAGTGTGCGGCAGTTGGATGTTTGAGGACATCCTCCAGAAGGGCGCCCTGAACGCAGACGACGAGTGCGTTGCTGAGGGTGAAGGCTGCGGGCTCAATGCCCTGCAGCTCAGAGGCGCAGCTGAGGGAACATGTGGGAACGTTCGAGGGAGAGATGGTTCCGGCTCGCAAGGTACACGCAGGGCATAATCGCCGTGGCACGGATAGTCGGAGTCTTCACAGCTTGAACGCGGAAGGCGCCTCTGTCGGCGTGCCCATTGTCGGGGACGTCATCGATGAGCTGGAGGAGCCTGTTCCTATCACATCGCCTCGTGATCCATCTGCAAATCAATCTTTATCCATAGCAGCGTGGCGTGTCAGGACCCAGATGACGAGATTGAGGAGGCCGATGAGGAATCTGATGAGGAAGATGAGGAAAAGCCGGCAAGTGCCAATGTGACGGAGCAGCCACAGGCGACTCCAGAGCCGGAGCAATCAGAGGAGGAGGACAAAGATGATGAGAAGGAGGAGGATGAGGAGCAGGAGGAGCAGGAAGAGGAAGAGGCGGGGTGTCACGGTGTATTGTCGGATGGGGCCAGGTGAGGTTGTAGAGGGCTGCTTCGCGAAAGGATCCGGTGACAACGACAACGATTGCCGGCGAGCCTCATCCCGAGGACCAGTGGCTTTTCGAAGAGCACGCAGGGCAGGATTTGCAGAAGGTAGTAGCCGGTCGCCACTTGTTTTGTGACCACCAGGATGCGGTCTGTGCAAAACCCGACCAACAGTGTGGTGGCCAGTGGTACTATGGGCCGGCCTGCTGCACTCACGGACACATCTGCTACGAGGCTCCGACTGATTTTCAGAAAAGGCAGGAAGACCAGGCGGCAACACATGCAATGCCCCAACAACTGGCTCGCTGATCCCAGCCTACGTCACACAGCAGTTACTACTTTCGTTTGCTTCCTTTACAGAAGTCCTTGATGTGGCTGCGTTGTAGGTGAACCAGTACTACTCGCTGTGCGTGACCCACGCAAAAGCCGAGGACGTTGGTCAGCAGTAAATCCTGCAAGGATTATTCAAGTGCTTGAGGAATTTGAGGCCAGGGCCTGAGGTAACTACTGTATTGAAGGGAATGTACAGCTGTACCACATGTCACGAAACAGTCGGACATGCATCGCCGGTGTGCATGTTGTTGGATGAATATAGATGTTGCGGTGACGGTGTTGCGAATTGATGGAAGGATGGATTGGGGAGTGTATGCACCGCACGTAGGCGTAAATTTCTCTGCATTTTTTGCGTCTGCACTCGTTTTCCTCCGTGACCCGGCCTGGAGGAGATGGCCAGGCTGGAAAACATGACGACCACCACCACGACAACCACCAATGCAGATCCGCAGCACTGCCGAGTGGGTTACGAGTCTCTTGGCATGGACGAGGGCTTCAGCCGCAATACTCTTGGCGGAACGAATTATGAGGGTTCCCGAAGTGTTTGACTCGAGTACGTGAAGTCGCACTTCGGAGCCCTCACCCTCCAGGCAATGTGGCGGTTATGACAAAGCTACCGGGGCCAATTACTCCGGCACCACATGCTGTCACGCGGGCTTCTATTGCAAGAAGGCGGTGATGAGCGAAAGTGACAGGGGAACAGCTCGGAGTGTCTTGATTCTGAGTAGAGTCAGTAGAGGGTTCTAGCAGACTTTGGTTTTTTTAGCCCTGTCAGACCGACGAGTACTTCTCCCAGTGTGCTCCCGTCGATCCTTGGGCCAAGCTAAGGCCTTTTGACATAATGCTGGGTCAAGAAGCTTGTTCTTCAGGATTTGCTTCGGACAGTGAGTCTGGTTCTTGGACGAAGGGCCGGTCAGAATCAGCTGGGAAGTGCAGACATATTCGGGTTTTGGTAGGTCTTGCCGCGCGCAGTCCATGCGGCTGGATGCCCACAACTCACGAAAGGAGCAGTGTTTTACAAGCTCATGGCGGCTCTCCACGCGACTCCCCGTTTCTTTCAAAGAAGAATCACGTTTGTCCTCGTTCCAAGTTCTGCTTCCCAGTCGGAAAGAGTGTGATCACTGCGTTGCTCAGGGCGCGCAAGCTAAGTTCAGAGAAAGCCATAGAGGTTTAGGGTCCATGGGTCCAAGCCTTCAAGAACGTCCTATTGAACAAAGGACCGGAACAGCTCCTTCATGCCGTACAAGCCGACGGAGAAGCTGGAGGCAGCAGCATGCGGTGTGAGTCTGTATGTCAATGTGTTTCTGATAATTATGTACAAATGTACATATGTACATATGTGTATATATATATATATATGTATATGTATATATGTATATATGTATATATGTATATCTGTATATATGTATGAGACAGGCTCCTGTAGGGTCTATTTGACGCCTAGTTTAGTCCATCTCCAATACATATATATATATATATATGAAACATTTGAAACAATTGAAATGCAGAAAACCCTCTGGTTTCAAATATTTCAATGAATTTTGAAATAGTTGAGATCGGCCCGGTTTTTTCAAAAAGCAAACGCTCCCCGAGATTTGAAATGTTTGAAATCAGCTTATCCCACCACAGCCCCAAACCTCCTGATTTCAATTATTTCAATTAAGCGAACTAATTGAAATCGGCCCGATTTAAATCAGGGGGGTTTGGGACTGTGGTGGAATAAGGATAACGGGGAAGGGAGACTTTGGAGTATTTCAAACTAAATAGTGGAAGTAGCTGATTTTGGGACATGTCCTTCGTCATCCGGATTCCTATGAGTTCACTTTCTGCAGTCCATAGCTTACAGGTCTGTAGGGGGATCAAACCGGTGTGGTAGGCCTCGCCTACACTGGGCCGAATCGGCAATGGCAGAAGCATATACGGTTAAGACACCAAGATACGGCTATGGTGCCACCTGTGGCGGACATTCGAAATGCGTATTGGCAGACTTCCAGCATACAGACCATCAAGCATGTTCATAACTCCGATAAGCTACCATGGATGGATAGCACGCCGATTTATGGTAGGTTGAACCCGGCAGCGCAGGATAGGATGCAGTGGCAGTCGTGTTTTTCACAGTCCCGTTTTGCGCCAGCGGCTCGAAACTGCCTTGGCTGATGGGCAAAGATGGATGGCCTTGCACTGGAGAAAAAAATTGGAATCGGCCCGATTCCAAATATTTCAAACATCAAATGCCCCTCGAGACTTGCAATATTTGACATCATCCCTATTTCAAATATTGCAAATGTTTCAAATATTTCAAGCCATTGAAATCCTCCAAAAGCCGCCCTTCCCCGTTACTCTTATCCCGCCACAGCCCCAGCCTTCCCTGATTTCAAACATTTCAAACATCAAATGCCACCCGGGAATTGAAATGTTGTAAATTTTAGAAATCAGCCTTATTTCAAATACTTCGAACATGTCAACTATTTGAAATACCCCCTATCCCACCTTTCGCCTCTTTCATTGCTACTCACCCCTCCCCCTCCCCCCCACCTCCCCCCCTGCCCAGTCTGTCTTCCCCTAACCTAACCCCTGCCCCTCCCCTTCCCACCCTGTCCCTCGCCTTGCAGAATCGGTTGGCAAAATTTGCTGCGATTGACTGTATCTTTCTTAGACATAACCGCGAACAAGCCAATCGCCGCAAATTTTGCCCAAAGATCGGTTGGCAAAAATTTGTTGCGATTGGCTGTTTCTTGATTTAGATATATCCACGAACAAGTCAATCGTAGCATACTTTGCCTCAAAGACGGTGGGCCAAACCTGCTGCGATTGGCTGTTTCCTGATTTAGCTATAACCACGAACAAGTCAATTGCAGCAGTTTTTGACTAACAATTTGCTGCTATTGGCTGTTTCCTGATTTAATTATAACAGCGGACAAGTCAATCGCCGCAAGTTTTGCACAAGAATCGGTTGGCAAAATTTGCTGCGATTGGCTGTTTCTTGATATAGCCATACGGCTATTGGTTGTTTCATGATTCAACTATAACGGTGGACAAGTCAATCGCAGCAAGTTTTGCTCAAGAAACGGTAGGCAAAATTTGTTGCGGTTGACCACGAACAAGTCAATCGTAGCATACTTTGCCTCAAAGACGGTGGGCCAAACTTGCTGCGATTGGCTGTTTCCTGATTTAGCTGTATCCACGAACAAGTCAATCGCAGCAAATTTTGACTAACAATGGGTTGGCACAATTTGCTGCTACTGGCTGTTTCCTGATTTAACTTTAACTACGAACAATCGCAGCAAGTTTTGCCCAAGAATCGGTTGGCAAAATTTGCTGCGATTGGCTGATTCCTGATTTACATATACAAGCACAAGCTGTTTTGTAAACCCATGTTCTGCATATGTCTGCGGTTGTTTTTTCACAAATGTTCTCATCTATGTACGACTTAGAAAGCGAGTTACTTCTCGTTTCAGTAGTTATTACGAACACTATGAGGACGATTACTGCTAATTGTACTGCATTGCAGGTTTTGTTGTCGTTCCTGATATGATTGATCTTGTTGCTTCTGTTGTCGTTTGCTGCTGTTGGTCACAGTGCTCGTAAACGGGCTGGGGGCTTGGAGTTGATGTTGCAGCTGGAAGACAAAAGAACGACAAAGACCAACTCAAAGGAACGGCAAAGACCAACAGACACAGAAACATACAATATATGCAGCTTCAAATAGAAGTATTGCAAACAACATAGTAACAACACATACAACAAGCGACGCGAGACAAGACTCGCTAAACATTTCAGGAAAATAATACTTCACATACGAACACAACATCAACAACAGCATCAAAGACTACTATGTATGACTATAATGACCGTTATCAACCTGTTAGATTGCATACTGTACCCGCCCGTTTGCTTGTGATTCGATCGATGCTTGTTGTTGTTAACAATCCAGTTAAGATTACATGAAAGGCAACGAACCGGATATCATATAATATATTTGTCACCCCAAGTATGGATGCCGTTCACCAAGCCAGTCATATGAAAAGCATGGAAAATAGATATTAAACAATATATCACTGCCGGTCCAACATTTTGGATTTCGGTTTTCTGTATACTGTTTAGCTAGACATTTTATATTTGTACATATCAAAAGCTTGTTAAATAGACCCTAAAGGTATCGGGCTCATATATGTATACATGTATATATATATATATATGTGTGTATGTATGTCTCTTTGTTTATGTATACATGCATATATTGTTTATATGCATGTATTTTTTATATGTATATACCTACAGATGTGTATATATGTACATACCTATAGGTATGTTAGAGTGTTTAGTATATATGTATAATGTATTCGACGGCTCGTTATGTAACAAGCTAGATGGAAGAGTACAAGCAGACATGTGGACACACATCCATGCCCAAACCTTATATGCGTGTACTTTTGCATGTATTCATATATATATATATATATATGTATGTGTGTAAGCATGGATGTATGTATGTATGTAGGTATGTAGGGCCACACTACGTAGATATGTAGTTAGACATGTACATATCTATGTATATATCTGTACATACACACATACATACATACATACATACATACATACATACATACATACACACCTACGCACATATGCACATATTTACTTAAGGTTACCTACATACCTAAATGCATGCATATGCATAAACATGCATACATGTATTCATAGTTGTATGCATCATATACACAAACATGCATACATGCCTACGTAGATACATGCAGACGCACATGCAACAGCACATGCATGTATACATATATCCGTGTAGGCCACATATTTCTCCGTTCAGGAGCCGAGCAAGGCGCCCCTCTTCACCTTCTATGTCTACCGCGCTGCACGAGAGGCTGCGACGCAGTGGAGCTGTGTGTTGGACGCTTCACGGAAGCGAGAGTGGGTAGGATGATGACTATGTCGAGAACATCAATGTCGGAGATCTTGCTGGCACCTTGTGGTATCTGCACAACGAGGCCAGGCATCTCGGGACTCGTGATTGTTCCAGAGCTTGGACTCCTTTGTTTCGACACACTTACAAAGCAATATTCTGATCATCTCCGAATGGCAGATCACATCTTGCACGTTTTGTGGCGAGGTCGTGTGGGTGAGACCCCGGAAGTTCGGAATCTCTCGCATCATCCGGTACAAGCCTCCCGGTAGCAGCCTGGTAAACGGCAATTCGAATCTTCGTGTCCTGTTTGATTCAGCAATATGGCACGCGCAGTGCCCGCGTTCAGAGCGCACAAAGTCCTTAGTGTCCCAGTGGTGTGATCCTTGTTTGGGTGCAGTGTCAATGGCCTTTTGCCGGAGCAAGACGACTTCCACGGCTTTCAGGAGATTCCTCGGCTGAAGCTGAGGATTTCGACTCGTGCAACACAGCCTCTGTACGATTTGGGAATGAACTTCGGCGTCCGTTACTCGTACGACGCAGCCCAGTGCACTGGACCTTCCCTTGGAGTTAGCACTTGTAGCGCCGTCGCGGTTTCGAGAGTGGCCGAATCATGGGTGGACCGCAGCATCGCAGGACCATGGTCGTGCGATTTGAACTACGAGAAGTTTGGGCTGCTTGGCCAAATGTCCATACATATACATATACTTATATGCCTGTATACCTATATACCTATATGCCTATATACCTATATGCCTATTTACCTTTATACCTATACCTATATATATATATATGTATGTATGTATATATATATATATATAATGTAAAGGGTACCACCAAAAGACGAACATCCACACCTTCAGCCTGCGTATGTCTAGTAGTCTAATATGTCGGCACAGTCTTTGTCTGCACACTTGTCTCGCATCTGTGCATATGTACTCGCATGTACGAATGTACGTGGCGACATACTTGTACCTACGCATACTGCAGAAGATAGACGTACATCCGGAACGAGCGCACGCAATTAGTTAAAGAAGAATACGAAGAATCACCCTGACCCTATTCCTCGAGGCAGCCCAAAACATCAATATCTCAGACTCCGTAAGCCAATACATGAGCATTTTCATCGAGGCAGTCCCCCAGAAAACAAAACGCCCAAAGATTTCCGAACCTGCCAGAAGCATGAAACGAGCATATTTCTCGAGACAGCCCCAAATCTACCAAAAATCTCAAACTCTATAGGCCAACACATGAGCATATTCCTCGAGGCAGTCCAAAATATGCAAGAAGCCAAGGATGCCAAGCTGTTCCACTCGGCTTTATGTTTGTTTTTGGGGCAGTCTCGAGAAGTTGCCTTTGTAATAGCTCCACACCTTTGGAAGTTTTGTCTTGTTTGGGACTGCCTCGAGAGATATGCACATTTCTCGTCTCGTGGGTTTTGGTGTTTTGTTTTTTTCTGGGATTGTCTCGAGAGATATGCTTATTTTGGCTTCCCAGCTTGCTAGTTGCGGGACTTTATGAAGAAATTGCCCTGGGAATGGCTCCAAATCTCTATGTTTGTGAAGATATGCTGATTTCTTGGCTTTTGGGGATTTTGTCTTTTTTGGGACTGCCTCGAAGGCTGCGCCCGAGTAACTAAGCCTGGTACACGTATTTGTTCAATGCTTTAATACAGCTATGTTAATTCCCATTCTGGAGAGAGGAGAAGCTTTCATTTAACCTTCAAGTTACTTCGTCCCACATGTGGCTTTTACAGTCACTCAATCACCATTTTGTTGCTATAAACTTCAGATCTACCTTCATGAAGGATCGATTACAAGAACATGCTGCAATGCGAATGCAGTATCGCTGCTGATTGTTATCCCAAACATTTAACTCCGCTTGAACATGTGTGATTCGATATTTGACAAAATGTCTAAGCCTAAGCCATCTCATGAACGTTTCACTAGTATGTAAATGATGTTCGAGCACGCATTATTAATGTTAGACCACGCATGTTGGTGACTAATGAATCCTTGGTTCGCAGGTTTGCATTGCTTTTTTTTTGTGTTTTCATGAATGAATTGAATTAAACGGTCGTGAGTATTCACAAATGAACTGGCACGTACACGATTCCTGTTTTCACACTTATTGCCAGCATAGTACGAACTCGTCATCGTGTTCGTGGAGAAGAACGCTGACGGCAATACTCCTTGGCTTTATTCCTGTCCCCGTGTTGCACAAGACAGGGGCAAAAGACAGTACTAGTACTTCGTTGTGATAGTCATGTATGCGTGCTGTTGAGAAGAACGGTGACTGCAATACTCTGGGGCTTTGTTTCTGTTCCAACCATGCCAAAGAGAAGGGCAGAACACACTAACAAGCACGAGAAGTGCGGATTCTACAGCGGGGTAGCACATACGTGTGTATATATATATATATCTACACTTGTGTACATTTGTGTCTTTCTTCAGCCTCACTTTAGCCTCAGATGTACCGCCTTAGCGCTGGACATGCGAACGAACATAAGCAGACATCCTAAACATGACTATGATGTGAATGAGCAAGACATGAGCACCATGGATAGAAAAGCACCATGTTATAGACAGCAACGTTCGTACAACTCGCAAAGCGAGTAAGCAAATAGGGAAACCCAAACGAAATAAGTAAGTCTGTCGATGAACCAGCAGTTTATTCACATGCGCGTCATGAGTTGTGCATAAGTATGCAAATACTTCTTTCAATCTCTACATCTACTCTACAAGTGTACCAAGTACGGAAGGCTAAGTTGATAAATATACGGATGTATGAATGCATATAGGAACACAGGGTTGCCTACTCATAAAATAACCGCTACATGGTTTGCACACACAGGATAAAACAGCATATTGGCAAGACCTCTGCTCCTGGTATCAAATGTTAGTTTTAACCGTGCTGAGGTACTTTGTTGGATGCAACAACTTGGGCATGTTCCCTTTTCCGCTTTACGACACGCACTATCCCGATGCCGGGGCACCCAGTATCCCATGTAGTGAGGATGCATTTGGTGAGTCGGTTGCGGGACTGGTGTGCTCGTATGTCTGCGTGAGGCAGTCTGGTATGCGCTCCCCGGGGACTGCTCCTCCAAGGATTACGAGGCCAACGGTCCAAGCAATGAGCGATGAGCGGTGAGCGATGAGTGGCGAGCGCATTCAGGACAAGGACCCGAAATGCATCGCAGAGCAGCCTGGCGGCCGCTGCGAGGGTGAGCCCACCGGGCAAGGCAGGCGGACATGCGTGGCCATAGTTTTGCAGCTATAAAGGCTCGGCCGGTCACCAGGCAATTGTACCTACAGCATCGAGATCATGGGCTCCGTCACGATTGACGAAATCGAAGGAATCTCGAACTACCATGACTTCATCCACACAGGCCTGACAACTGCAGTTTGTTGCTACGCTGTTGCCCACAGTCACATGTGCGTGTTCATCACAGCCATACAGTACAGTTTTCACAGGAAGCTTTTTCGGGTGTGTAGGCTTCGTCGGTGAGCCAGCCCGGCATCGAACCCAAAGAACCAGTAGGAAGTGTAAGCGCCCTGTACATGACGAGCGCAAGAAACCAGCCGAGTGTCCAAGTTACGGTTGTCAAGTTCTGGGGCGTGGCCGCCAATATCGATGCCTTCGAGCATGACGCGTCTGCTTGTTGCACTCGCTTGCTTGTCTATTCCATGCAGAGGGTACCTTTCTCTCAAGGAGACCAGGTCGAGTACAACAAGACCTTGGACAAGGGTGTGGGCATGACTTTCTGGACATGGCCCCAGCAGAGGTTTGTCAGGCTAAGGCGTGAATCTGCTCGGTAGTCGCTCGGCCAAACCTGCACTGAGGGACGGCATCAACGACACTGCCAAGAATACGGAGCGTGTGGAGAAGGTCCGGAAGATCTTCGAAACGAAGTTTCCGGACCAGGCCACCGATGAGGAGATGAAGCCTCCAGCGTGCGACTTTGACTTCGAGGTCTTTTATAACACAACCACGACCACAACCACAACCACAACCACCATCAGCACCAGCACAACCAGCACAACCGGCACAACCGGCACAACCACAACAACTGCCGCAGCGACTACAACAGCCGCTACAGAAAGTGCAGCCACCACGGCTGCGTCAACCACGGAAGCCTCGACCACGGTTGCTGCCGCGACAACTGCCAGCAGCACTGTGAGCGAGACTACGTCAGCCACGGAGGTTGCTACTGCTGCCCCCAGCACCGCCACGACCACCGCAGCTGAAAGCACAACGGCCGAGACGGCGACTGCAAACGCCTCCGAGTCAGAGTCCTCCGTTGAGGCCACGACCAGCTCCCCCGAGCTCAGCAATGTCTCCACCACCTCGACGTCAACTCCAAAGGGCTGCAAGGTCACTCGTCCTCCTTGATCTGCTGACTAACTCTCAAGCCGACTTTTTCTCGCGTGCTCTTAGGATGCTGTCATGGGCTCCCACTGCTACTCCTCAGTGATCTGGGCCATGGAGCACGGTCTCAAGCTGCATCCGACCTGGCCAGGGACTCGAAAAGGGGCTGCAGTCCTCACGTGTCCTCGCGGCTAGCGGTGAGTCCGAGTCGGAGCCCCCCCATTTTCATGGAAGGTATCCGGGCCTTACGTCCGAGTCGACCTTCGCCGAATTCCAGGAGCTCCGGTGCTCCTGTCCGTTTCCGGGCGCTGGGTTTCTGTAGCCGTAGCCTCGGGCTCTCACGAGTGAGTGAGCAGGAACGAGTGCACCACGTCACGCCGGACGTGTGCCCGGTGCCCTGCACGGCGAAAGCCGGCTGCCATGATCCGGTGGAGGGTGAGTCCTGCTACTCTGCCGTGAAGTGGGTGGGGACCCCAGCCCCTTCGGTGTGGGCGATTCTACCATCGTCCGGAAAGTCTGAGCCCCGATGTCATCAGGCAATGAAATCGGGCATCATTAAGCATCCCCACTGGAATCTCGGCCGCAAAAGGAGAGGGGATCCCTCTTTCGAAGCCAGCCTGCGGCTTGAGCTTCTGGCGCTGAAACGCGAGGTACCCTGGGCTCACCACGGAGTCCTCTTTCAAGGAGTTCCAGGCGAGCTAAGACTCTCCAAGCTCCGAACATCAAGTGTTTTTAGTTGGCACCATGGTTTTGGACATTACCTGACAGGTTGCAGTTCACAAGAAGCTTCCAAAGAAGTGCATGATGCCTTGCTCACCCTGAGCTCCAGGTGTACTTGTGCACAAAGTGCTTTTTCAGTGCTTTGCATTTTAACATGATGTGTGCATGGTCGCCTCGTTGCTCCACATACGGAGAGATGTTCCAGAGACAGCTTCTTAAAGGACTTGATCTCCTGGAGCATAGCTGGGAGGCCTGGCGAGAAAAGGCAAGCAGAATGCCAACAGCAGCTGTGAGGGAAGAGGTCAGACGTAAGCGTTCTTTACGCACAGATGGAGTTGTGCTCGAAGCAATCGGAGGGCCAGCTACCTGGCCTTCTTGCTCTCCCCTGCTCTAATCGCCAGATTTCAGCTTTCAAACACCGGAGGCCGGGAGCCTGGAAACCCTCTGAAAGAACATCGCAGAGCCCAAAGCTGCTCTGAACCGACCATCTCTGCAGCACCGAAGAGATGAGGCCCCTACACCCTAAACCCTCAACCCCAGACCCTAAACCACCATCAAGGATGGGGCTTTCTTGAGCTCATGGCTATCAACCTAGAGCTGACTCCTTTGGCCCTCGACGTTCCCCGGGCCCGAAAGACCTTTAGTATGATACGAGATGTAGTAGTAAAGGACTTGTAACATAAATAAACAAATACAATCAAATACATATATAAATATATATATATATATATATATATATCTCTGTATATATATATATATACATAGCACATCAGAACTGTCTGAAGTGTGCCTCTTGGCCATGGCCGAGTCAGACTGGCCCGGCAACTACCTTCCCAGCGCATGCCCAGGCTGTGTCATCGTCGGGCGCCGAGAGCAAATTTAGGAGCTAGGGCTAAGGGATGTTTAGGGTTGTAGGGTTTTAGGGCTTTAGGATTGAAGGTTTCGGGTTTAGGGTTTTAGGGTTCAGGGTTCAGGCCTTAGGGGAAGTCTGTCTCCAGAGCCCTTCGCTCATCAACAAGCTTGTTGCGAAAAATGTTCGCTGGGCCTGCTGCATGCTGCGACTTGGGCTGAAGGGCTGTAGAGCATGTCGTGCGTCATTGGAGTTCCGCTGTTTCCACGAATGGCACGGCTTGTAGGAGGCAAAGACTGAGTGGAGCACAGAACTCGATATGTTGATTCATGCTATCCGTGTGCAGTCTGTGTGCAGTCTGCCCGTAGAGTTACAGTCATCACCACAACCACCACTATCATAATAACATAATGATACAACATATTCACACATGTAGAGGTATCAACAGTATCATCTGCATCTAATCCCTTCCCCCTTTTAGTAAACCACCCCCTATCAACAACCCTTCGAAAACCACAGTGAAATCCCAAATTGGATTAGGAGGGGTTCTGGCGCAAGAGCAAGAGCAAGCGCAGGAGCATAAGCAGCAGCAAGAGCAGCAATAAGAGCAGGAGCAAGAGCAGGAGCAGGAGCAGGAGCAAGAGTAGGAGCAAGAGCAGGAGAAAGAGTAGGAGCAAGAGCATGAGCAGGAGCAACAGCAAGAGCAGCCAAAAGTGACAGTCGAGATGACAAGAAGCCTAGTAATGAAATACTCTTAGAGTATATATTGGGGGGGGCCGTTTGATTGATATTTGGGGGAAGGGATTTTACCTATCTATGGGGGCAGAAAGAATTGGCATATATGGTCAGGCGTCTGGCGTTC